ATCATTTACACACTTGAAACAGGGAAATACAAGTTCCTTTACACAAGATTAACTATGGAAGTTTTCCAGACAGCCAACAGAACAGGCAAGTTTTTTGTAACACGTATGACAAAGCTATAAGAAAAATAACAGCAGCAGCTATTGCAGCTCTTCTTGTCAGGAAGGACCATCAGGATCCTCCAAGACTTCTTTTGTAACCTATGCTGATGAAGGCTGAAGAGCAAGCCATAGACACTGAAGTGATTTACAAGGCTTAGCTCATGATGGATTTAACATCACATGCTTCCAAGCTTAAGCTTGAAAAAAAATGCTTTGCCAACACCACCTACTCTGCTTTCCACAATATGTTGTCTTATTCTACTCTTTTGACAGCTAAACTCAGTTAATCAGAATTATTTCTCTTGGCAAATACTTAGTACTTATTACAAGGTAAATACATATTAGCTATTCAGAAGGATCACTGGCTTCAAGTGTTGTTATGGTGGAACATGAAAGACCATTAAAATTTCCTAACATATAAATCCACTACCTTTTCTGGTACCTCCAGGGTCAGGAAAGCATATGGATACAGGTACATGCTTCCCTTTAAATGAGACTGTGCTTGTGTTTTAAACACAGTGGAACTTTGTCCTGTGTCAGGATCACAACAATTTGGAGATACAAAGCACTAAGCCCAGCAGCTTCATTTTCTCTCAAGAACTGATGTGGCAAATGACCAAGAAACAGGAATTAAACTGACAAGTTTTGGAAAGATAAAAATAGCCCAAACTAGCACACTGCCTTTTACAAAATAGGTCAAATGGCAGAATTTTTGATTTTGAAAGAAGATTTTCTTTAATCCTGTGGAGACTTTTGACCATTTCCCCAGTTACCTTAGCTCCTATGAAGTTTTGCAGCCACTTCTGAAGAAGAGATTGCAGTAGCTTTGAATCATATACAATTAGTAAATACTTCATACTGACCTTTACAAACTTTGTGGTGAGCACAAAGACGCTACACACTACAAAACTGCTGGCAAACTCCATTATCACTGAAAATTTAAGCTGTAAAATTCAGTGGACTCCTCTATGTTCAAAGGAAAAAAAGAAAAGGTGTTTTCTGCATTCACATTTCTCAAGTTCTGATCGATTTTGCTTGTTTGTTGTTTGTTTGTGCGGGGTTTTTTTGTTGGGTTTTTTCCCTGTAAATTATTTAATACCATTATAGTATTTAATTTGCATAATCCTTTCCAGTGAAAGGTCTGGAGATGAGTCACCAGGATTTTGCTGGAGGGTACAAATCAAGTCTACATGTAGAACTGACTTATGTAAAACAATTCAAATGAAAAGCAAGCAGCAACTATGACTAAACTGTAAAACAGTTGTAAGATGACAATTCAGTTTACCATACAAAGTTTCCATATTTTGAATGAAATCATATCTCCTCCAATGCCACACAACTGTTTGCTTCTTCTTTTCTGCATGTGTGTGTGGGGGGCCGTTTTCCTTGAATCTGCTGACAAAGGTATCCTGTGTGTATTTGGAAGCAAAAAAAACCCCAAACTACACATTAGTTCCTTTGCCTGGTATAACAGTTCCTACCTAAAAGTTCAGATTAAGGTGTAAAAAGTATGCTTTAGATAAAAGTTACCATTTCTCTTTAACATGTTTTCTCATTATGGTTGCTCTTTCTCAAGTAAAGGAAAGGGCTGTTAAAGGAGGTGTCAACCTCTTTAAATTTGTAACTTTGCTTTTGCTAGCAACTTCTGCAAAGAGCAGAAGATACAGTTGTTAAATCTAGCATTTAAGTACAGCCTCAAAACCTAACCCAGATGAAAACATTTTCCTCATGTTTTCTACCCCTCAAAAGTACAGAGAATTTTTTAATTTGAGACTCAGGGTGTCTCCAAATATTTTACAGGTGCCAGACCTTTCCCTTTACACTCTACAGCAAGTCGACAAATACACCTCTTGAGGGAAGATATTCTTCCTGGCTTTCACCTCAATCCTCTTTCACTGTTCAGGCTGAATACACAAGTGAGGGAAGAGAAAAAAAGAAAAAAAAGGAAAGCCAAGAAATGAGTAACTCATCCCATCTACAATCCAGCTCCAGTAAATCTTGATCAGTTTAAGATTATATTGTTCTAGCTTTCCACCCAGCTCCTGTGCAGGAAACCACTGCCCGTGTAGCTGTCAGCAGAAGGGAATGTGCTCCTGACTTGCGGGTGCCCCAGGTCAGCATGTTGGGCTGATCAGAGAACATCCAGGACTCATCACATCTGCTGCTTCGTTTGCTCTGGGCTCTGACTCACAACCAGCCTGTAGCACAGATGTTAGAGATTGTGCATAGGGGGTTAGAAAGTGGAACAGAAGAACAAACAAACAAAAAGATCTGTACCCATTTTGCCAAAAAATGGTTCCTGCATTTGTCAAAATACTAGAAAACAGAACTAAAATAACCAAACTTTCCACATCACCATTCCTTGCTACAGTAACAGCGCCTTGGCTGGCAAGGTGCACTTGCTTCCTAAGTGGATATGATTTCCTTTTTTTCTCCCCCAAGAGAGGGGGCGATGGCTCACATGCGAGGTTCAGCATAAAGGCCAGATATGGCTGCAATCCTTTCACACAGGATAATCAGTCACTTCCCCAAAGCCCTCTTTGTCTGATACTCAGCCACAGATCATTTAGCTTAAGGTATTCATTATACAGTCTCTCCCTCAAACAAACACCCCTTTTCCCGAGATGTGCAGCCAGAACTGTGGCTGGTGAATCACTATCCACAGCTGGGTAATTAACGAAGCCTATTGTATTCACACCACGAGTGCTATCCCAATTCATTTACAGGACTTCCCATGCAAATAGATCCAATTGCCACATTTTGCAAATGAAACATTTAACATAAATCTCTCTAGAAAACATGTGTCACAATAAGCATAACCACTTTAGAATGCAAATCTTGCAAATAGTCCTGTGAATATATACACACACACACACACACATTGTTTACAATAATTTTTCTCAAACCACTGCTTCTTTAAGGATTTTGTGCATCTATACTACAAAAATCAGCTCTAAGTGTATTCCTTCATGCTCTTTAACTGGTGACAATGAATTGTGTGCTGTATCAAACAGCACTATGGAATCTCCAGGAAACACATTATCAAGTTAAAACTAAAAAAAAAATCACTCAAAAAAAAAAGCAATTATTTTTATTACTTGTTGTGCGATCAAATGTACAGTGTTATGTTCAATATGAGAACAGCATTGTGAATTCCCCAGGAAATACACTATCAAATTAAGACTAAAATCACACACAAAAAAAAAAAAAAAATCAAGGATTTTTACTACTTGCTACTAGAACAAATTTACAGTGTTATGTTCAATACAAGAAACTCGTAATGCCCAAACCAAGATACAGTTAAAAGTAACAAACACTGGCAAGTCTTAAGTCATTGATTTGTCTATGTATTAAAAACCATATGCATAGATTTCAGTCTAAGGGTTAAAATTTAAAAAAAAGAAAAAAATCCCTAGACAGAATAACAGGCACACAGGTTCTTCTAAATACTACACTACCAGTTCAATTTGCTCATCTTCAAATGTGGCCATCCTCCGTTGGGAAGCTGCCCTCATTCTTTTCTCCCAGCCCTTGTTGCTAGGGCTGCAGCTGCACCGCCCATTCCCCTCCAAGCACATGTCTTTGGAGAGGGGCACAAAGGGTTTCATTATCTGCTCCTCTGAGCAGGCACAGCTCCGCCAGAAGAGAGCATTCTCCCTTCTCTCCCCACCAGAAAGCAGGCTGGCAACCCCCCGCCTCGTCGTGTCCATTTACATATGAAGAGCAGCAGAAGGCATAGGGTGCCCTGGCTCAGCTGCCTGACAGGGCCACCCATTGCTCCCCTCCAGGGAAGGGTCTTCAGAAGCTGCTCATTTATGATCCAGTCATCTTTACTCACGACTTGGTGAGAAGTTCATACCGCAGATGAGATTTGGTTTGTTTTTTCCTTTTTTCTTCTTTTTTTTTTTTTTAACAGTAAGAACAGTCTCCTAGTATTTCTAATCTTTGAGAAAGAGTTGTGTTTAAAAGTCCTGGCCTTCTCTGGGACACAGATCGAAGACACAAAACAGAAAAGAACACACTGACCACATTGGCACACCATGCTGTGGTCTATAGCACTGTTCATTCACACTGAACTACCTTCCCACGGCTTAATTTAAATCTTTATCAGCATTAACAGGTGGATTCATTCTATGAACACATTTACAGAGTTGTGCCACTTGTGAAGGGGAGTGGGATATAGGCAGTGTTTCCATTTGGAATGTAGCTAAATAAATAAAGTGAATTCAAAATAATTAAAAGCTAACTGTTACTTGGACTGTTTTTGGTACTGTCTTTGTTGTAAATGCAAATATATTGTCAGCAATTTCCTATCAAGAAGCTGTTTAGCATTTCTAGCGTCAAAGGAAAGAAAATGGGCAAAAATAATTGGTTTTCACTTTGGGTTCCTCTTCCTCAGGGCAAAAAATCCATTATTAAACAGCAGAAAATTAACAGAGGAGAGATAGAAATTAAACTCCATGAGAACCCTGAGTATCGATATATAACAACACATAAAACATGGTTTTTGAGGTTATGTGTGAGTTTACAATGGAAACTGAGAAGATTTATTTCACAGAAAGCAACTGGAAGTGATCATTAATTTTACATTAATAAGCATATGCAGAGTACATAGGGTGCAAAAGCATTGTCACATAGGGCATCAGACTATTACACCGCAAGAGGTAGATAGGAAATCACAGTTTTTCTAGGCCTTAATGAAAGGTCAAACTAGTTTTTCACTTAATGTTATCAGACCAGCAGTCCTGCACCTGAAGGTCTGTCTCTTTAGCAACAGTAGAGGAAACATTTGGGATTTGTGCCAGCTCTGAGGAACCCAAGTCTCCATAGAAAGAGATAGGAATTGCCATGTTTGCTGCCCATAAGACTACTAGAGCATCCTGGCAAGGTTATGCACTTACCACACTCCCAAAGAGCCAGTGGATGATGACTTCCAGATTCAGTCTGAAACTAGAAGGCTGAAACCTGTCCCATGAGCTGACACCTGATACCTAACACTGGAAAGACCATAGACAGAAGTACTTAGACATAAACAGAATGATATTTTAACTCTGTTGACACAGGACATACGCAGACAGTCTAGTCTATTTCATGGTGACCTTTTGAGAAATGTGTTAGATCTTCCCTAATGTACTTCCTCTTGGTACTTCTACTGGGGTCTTTGAACCCCATGTGATTATTTCTGAATGGGCACAGGGGAAAGCAGATGTGAACAAGCTTGGTCACAAGTTTGCATTTTGAAAAAAGCAACACGTTCACAGTTAACTGTCTTGGTTCTGTGTAATGCATTTAATAACTTAGGGTGTGGGGCAATGGTCAGGAGTTTAAATAAAGAGATCATAAAGAATACAACAGGTATTATTCAAGGACCATGACACAAATACTTCTAGTTCAACAGAAAGTTAATAGTTCTTCTAATCCAGAATTTGTGATGCCTTAATCTACAATTGTGGGCTCTCTTCCATGTGAATATCTCCTAAATGTTTAAAGCAGGAATACAACAAGATCAAAAAGAGGTACATGTACCATGCTTACTTGTAATACTATGTATGTTGATACGTGATTCCACCTCCTCTTTTACCAAACCTGATCTCACACCCCTCTCTCCACCTCCTGTTGTATAGCTCTAACTGGGACGGTAGAACAGTTGGTAGGAAGAACTGCAGTTTCCATGCTAAAGATACGCATTTTCTAGAGCCCAAGAAAAAAAACAAACAACATAATAAAACAACATACGTATTTCACATTAGGCAGCACACAAGCCAGAAGTAACTAGAAGAATAAAGAGGGTTAAGAGTCAGAGGAGTGGTAGAATAACACACAGTGGTGCTGAAATAACTTCAGTTCCTGGATATGTATGTAGTGAAAAATGCTGGTATTGGTCAAAAGAGAGTGAATCTGCTTTTGATGTCATTAGTACATCCATTTTTGAACATCTATGATTAACTAGTATGTGTGTATATTACACTTTTATACAGATAGATCTCTGAAGCATTCCAGTTGCTCTAGTGAGATGCGCAGAAAGATATCACCTTCAATTTGTGACTGACTTCAAAACAAATGCTGATTTAACTTGCTTTACAATATACTGATATCCCAGACAGGTGCAAAATTCAGACAGCACTGGTAACACCAGTAACAGTAGTCAGTGCACACTGGTCATCAACTTTCCCTTATTAATTCTGTGCTGGTACTATGATGTGGAAAGAGACAAAGCATTTAGGATTTTTGCAGAAGTTCTGAAAACAATAATTTAAAATACCTTCTTCCAATTCTTGATTAATATCCTATTTTACTGTAATATTGAAAATGCAGTATCTCAAAAATTAAGTACTTTCTAAAATGTACAAATACTAATAGCATGACAATGAAATAATGAAAAGTCTTTTAGAAGCTTTTCAGAGAAGATACTGCTCTTAATTTGAGAGGTGACAGATATTTCTTCCTTCTGTAACTGCTTGTTATTAGTAACTGTGTTATTGAACATGTCTTCTGAATATAATTAGTTTCTGCAAAACAAGCTATTTTTTTTGTATATATGTGACTGTATCTTCCTTCTAGAGGATTCTCAGCTATCTGAAAACAGCAGAGAAACAAACAAAAAACCACTTCCACACTTGAGGTCAGCTTGAACTACCAAATTAGTAATAGCTGCAGTGCTACTCTACTGTAGAAGTTTCCACTAAGTAAATGTTACGTGACTTTGTTAAACTTATACGGAATTGAAAGTGTATCAGTCCCTAGAGACTAGAACAAGCACGCGCTTTTGTTACAGTTTGTTTTGGGACATAGAACAGTCAAACTTTTTCTGCAACAAAGCTTTAAATCTGGGAATTTGATGCCTATTTACAAGGGGTTACTAGCCACAGCAATGCAATATATTAGGTTAATAAAGAACATTCAAGAGCATCCACTATTAACACATATCAAGTCTCTCACCCTTAAATGGCACTCCAGTCAGTTTCTGCAGAGCTAGCAACTTTTCCCAAGACTTTTAAAACAGAAGTAGTTAGTTTTCTCCTGTGCCACCCCCTGAAGGACTTCATAATGTAAAATTATCCAGCAGCCTTCAAATTCTGGGTCCATCTAACAGCATCACCACAGGAGTAACAAACACTACAGCTATTTTGAGATACAGGCAGCTGAAAGGAACACAGAAGAAGGAGACAGAAAGGTAACAGTAAAGATTATAATGTTATCCAGGGGAAGGAAAAAAGAAAAAGAGAAGCAAGGGAGAGCAGAACAAAAGAAACTATACATATGAAACAGGCCTGAAGTTTATATACAATATAACATAACTGGGTGGGAGATTTGTTTTTAAACAAATAAAAAAATTGAAAAAGAGGAAGTAAAAGCACTTGTAATGAAACCACAACAGATAACCCACTGCATTAAGAAGCTTCGCTGAACTTTATCTAAATATCCAGAGGCAAAGATAGTGCAGGAGATATTGAGAAGGTAGTTGAAGAGCAGAAGAAAGCAGGTACAAAAACAACAGAACCACTGCCTTTATGAGAGTTGTTGACAAAATTTTCTACACTGACTGATTTGAAGGTAAATAATGAAATTCTGACAGTAAATCATATTGTTCTTCTATGGCAACTCTTAACAATGAGAAATTTCAGCAACCTTCCATTAGTTTGTTTTCCCTACAACAGATAAATCAAGTAATAACATCTATGTACAAACTAGTCTGGGGCTCTGCCCTTTAAAATCAGCTGGGACTATAGAGATTCATGTCACAGCGTGGCTTTTCATTTACTTGTTAAGTCACAGTCCATTAAGAGGCAGAAAACATTCAATAGCGCAGCAATCCAGTCTCTTGTGGCATCTCAAGTTAGGGCCTTATGTCAGAAGCATCTCAAAACACAACTGGAAAGTTAGGTAGCTAAATTTTCAGAAGTGCCAAGTACCCAGCAGTTTCCACTCAAAGCCTGACAGAGTTTTGAGAAGCAAGTGCTATTCAGCTACAGATTTGGCTTGCTGTTTTACAAATCAAACAATTCCTCTGGCACCCCTGCACCCAATAGTTGATTACAACACCTCTCCATGCCTCCACTCCCTCTTCTGCATAAGGAAATTAACATTTTTTCGCATACCTGTATAGCAAATAACTATCACCCACGCATTTGTCTTTAAGAGAGAGTATTTCACATTTCCACCTCACCACAGTAAAAGCATCTTCCCCAACAATTCTGGCACTAACTTGAAAAGACCACTGTTAAAAAGGGGGCTAGGCTGGGATTACCATCCTCATTTTTCAATTCACACATACTAAACTATAAAGCAAACAAAACCCCCAGTGAAGCCACTGCAACTCCCCCACCACTATTCTCCTGCCCAAGTCAATTCAAAAACAGCATTCCTTTTCTGCTGGTCAACGGCATTTTAAGGAAGTTGCGGCTTGAGGCCACTCTTCCAGTTCTTCAAACTCCTGCACCAATGAGTCAAGGTGCTCAATATGTGCAAATGCAGTTCAGCTGCCGAATACGATTCACACTTAAAGCTGATTGACCCAACCTGACTGACAGAATAACCATTGACAAATACGTGGAATAACATCTAACAAACCAGCCTCAAAAGAATGGTAGGTCATGCATAATCCTGCCATGGAGAGGCATGGATCTATTATGCAACAGGAATAATGGAAATACTGGCCTGCTTACTCTTCCTCCTCAATTTACTCAGTAACAGATAACATTCCTGGTAGGATTAATAATTGGGAATCAAGAAAAGGTAGAAGGATTAAAGATTGATACACATTTCAATACAGAGAAAGACAGAAAGACCAGATGTGCTGCTTCTGAACTTTCTCAGTCGAAAATCAGATGCTTGAAAAATGCTTCAGCTACTAGCTCATGCTTAAGGAGGCAGAAGCAGGAAGAAATTACTTTGCTCATTATATTTTAAAGAGAAAATGACATCACAGAATCTTGTGAGAAGCCTAATATGTTTTGAAGAAATCATATCCCAGGAAACTAGATCAGTCTCTCCTGGACACAGGGTATCATCCAAACAGCTCAGCCAAACTGCAACAATTCTGGACATGAGTAAACATGCAGACTAGGTGCCTGTGAAACTACAGAAAGGAAGCAAAACTTCTGTGAAATCTGCCTGCCCAAAACTGAATGTTAGTAAGATTTTCAAGACAGTATTTTGAATCTATATGCCAAAGTCCTGAATAAGTGCTTACTGGAACACATCCTTCCTTCAAGGGATGTAGCTTATAAGGAAGTACCCAATAAGCTGTACATAACATTAAAAAACAAAGCTACAGAATAATCCATTCTGTGTCCTTTAGTGTGCTATAGCAACTGTTGGTCCAAAAGAAGAGATCAGAGTGGAAGAGTATCTTCTGTGGCAAAGATGAACCTGAAAGTTAAATTGGGCCATTAGCAAAAGTCTGTTTACTGCTTCCTCTTTGCTTCGTGATACTAGATCATGAATATATAAGAGAATATTATCCTCTTCCTTCTTTTGACGAAAATGGACAGTTGCCATAGTTAGAAGTTTCAGCTGGAATTCAATAACAAGATTTAGATATGTAGAAAGGGAAACAGATCTCCTTCACTTGTATTCACTTTTGCATCAGGCCTGCTGTAAAGATCAGATTCTTGGACTTCATATGAGCTCTTCTTTGCCTCTGGGCCTAATACATTTTAAGTATCTCAAGTAATTTCATGACAGAGAATACGGTTCCTTAACTGATACCTATAGCAATCTAACTGGTCTATATAACGCATGTACATTGTCTGGTAGCTTTTCTGAATGGACAGGCATTGCATATTGGATGGTAGCTAGAAATCTGATGCATAGAAGACAAACAGTAAGAACAACATAATTTGTGACAACGACTATTAACACTCAGCCTGGGCTCTCCCTGGAAATAGGACACCAGCATTCAAGTAGTCCCTGCACATTCATCCTTGGTGTTCTCATTGCAGACAGCGCTCTGTCCTCAGAGTTATGCACCATGTGGGCTTGGGGCATTTTCTGTGGAGACATGATTATTCATAGTGGTAAAAGCCAGAATTACACTCTTAGGCTTCTTAAGTTTCATGCCTTAATTACAAAATGGCAAGTTTTTTTCCCTGCATAAAATCACATATAAAACCAAAAATATGATTACAAAGTACAGTGTGTGTAAGAAGGCAGGAAGCACATACAGGTTTTTCAGGATGCCATATTTCACACTGTACATAAGCTTAGCCAATTTAAGGATAATTACAGCATATGACAGTGCTTCCAGAAAGAAAAAAAAAATCTTACAGAACAGAACTTCCCAATCTGCTAGAGATACTTTAAATACCATTATAAAGTACATTTGGTAGCCAGTTGGAAGTCTAAATATAAAACATCAAAAATTAAAGATCTCTCAGAGTGTATATTCAATATTTCAAACTACAGTAACTGAACATCATGCAGGTGTACTTCCTAGCATCATTGCTTCATCTGCCTTGTGCTTTCCTTCCCTTCCCCATTACACTGCAAGATGGCTTATCCACAAAGGAGGACAAACTAGTTTAAGTGTCTAGTTTAGACATCGACCAATATACCCAACACACTTTCCTATGCTACTTTTTGCTTACTATTCTCTTCACGCAGACAGGTGTAATGAAATTTGTTTTCCACAACAGCAATTTTCTTATTCGTGGTCTTTGATTCCTAGCTTTCTTCTGGTTTATGGTTTCCATTGGCACAAAGGTTCAGTGACTGTTCCTCACATTCCACTTTACTGTGAAAAGTGACGGCAAAAGAGCTGTGGCCTTCTGCATTAATACAATTCAATTGGATCAGTTGTGTTCTACATCAAAATGCAAACAAAATGTTTCAAGGAAAAAAACCACAAAACTGTTTTTGAAGACCTATGTAAGAAGCTGAATCAGTCACAGTATTCAGCTTCACCTCAGTGATTTTGACCTGTTTAACAACAAAGGAAATAGAGGACAGTCAGATACAAATACAGTTTGAGCAAGAGACAGCAGTAATTAGATGTGAGTATTTGTACAAATGGGCATCTGAAACGAAGTAATGGAAGAGCACAGTTTTGCACCTGTGTTACTTCAGAGTTATTCTACAGGAGTAATGCAATGATCAGAATGCAGAAGCTGCAGGTAAGGTTAAGCTAAACTGAAAAACAAAAGTCCTTCATTAAACAAAATGTTAAAATCCAACATCTTACGTGAATTTTTTTCCTTTGCCCTTAAAATGAACAGCACATATAAATTTCAATAATGTAGACTAAAACTTCTTTTTGCCATTGCTCCAACTTCGTGAATGAATTATTAAACTGAAAATTAGAGTTGTACAGAATTAATGAAAGTGTGGTGGATGAAGTCTAAACCCTTACAGAGAAAACTAAAACCCATGAAAATCTTACTCAGAAAAGAGCCCATGAACCAAATTTGAAAACCATCTGCTGCAAAAGCAAGGTAATAGAAAAGACATATTTCAGATTTTGAAGATATGCAGGCTTTTCTGTGGTGGTGTCCAGACATGAACACAACACATGAGTAGTCTGCTAACATTTTATGCTAGGATAAGTGTACTGCAGAAGTGCTGCAGAACCTTTTAGTGCTAGACATGGATAGAGAAAGGGTTTCCTCGACAAACAAGTTGTTTACCAGTATAAAAGTGTTTATCTAAAACTAACATTTTGCCACTACCTCCAAAAGAGAGAAAATAAATCGGTTTTCCACATTCACCTCCACCCCAGTATTCTAGACTTCTAGTGAATTAAGTGATAGGTAGCAATACTAGAATGGAAAAGTTAAGGAAAACACCTTTTTTCAATTTTTTTCAGATTGTTCTTGCTCTAAGCATTTGGAAAGTGTGTGTTTCAGGGTATCATGAGACCAGATGAGGAATATACTAACTATGATGAACAGCCAAAAGCCTTAATGCCTTCTCTTTCACATGACTGGAAGTACATCCACCCACCATGTGGTCAAAGTCATGCGACAAGAAACAGTGGCTATGTGAATGAAGATAGAAGTCCAGCTACATAATTGCAAGGGCGACAGGGGAAGGAAAAGTTGCAGTGTTCTAGGTAAAGAGGCAGCAGGGAATGGCCCTGGTGCACTGTCCTGTACCACTGTCTTACAGAATGTCAGTTTGAACCCCAAAACACTTAAACGAAGAAAAATATTAGGACTTCAAGCACAGATTTTTTTGGCTGGAATAGGATGTACTCTAAGGTGTTTATGGAGATTTTACACTCGCCAATTTCATAGCTGCCAGCAAGGCAAGTCAGGAAGGCTGTACTTCCTGACCTGTGATTGAAGCTTCCTGCAGACACTCCTGGAGCATGTACAGAAAGGGGAGCCAACAGGTTGGGAACACCCATTTCACCTCACTTGTATTTCATTCTCGTGCCAGAAACATGTATTTTTGCACTGTGGAATTCTTTGCTCCCTGCCTCCCACAGCTCCAGGGTGCATCACCACCGACTGATACCAGTGCCGCAGGAGAACTCCTCTCTTCCCCACTTGGTCTTCCTACATCAGCTGTCATCAATGCCCATGCCATCCTGCTGCTGCTTGCAGTATAGCCCAAGTTTCCTCTCAAGTCTTCTTCAAACTGACATCACCATCTTTTACCTGCCCTTATCAACTCTTCATCTCCTACCCAACTGCCAGCCTTCTCTTCTCCCCCTTCCATCCACCTCCACAAGGCGGGCTTTTTTGGTTGAGAGGTTTTATGGGGTTGGTAGTTTTAAAATTTATTTTAAAATTACCTGATTGGTAAATACCTAATTGGAATTACCATTTTCTTCTTCTTACTCCCCTCTCCTGACAGACCCTCAAGGACAGAGATTTCCCCATCCTCACACTGCAATGACACATTTTTCCACAGGGTGGGTATATAAACATCTGGGGATGCTCCTGAGGCACAGCAGCAAGAAGCAGGCCAGAAGAGAAACTGCAGGGCCAGCAAGGGAGACTGCAGCTCTCACTCCCGCTTTGGGATGCCACTTACACTTTCAGTTTCACATGCAAGTAATAAAACCACTTCCTTGTCACATACTTCTCCAGGGTAAATTCATGTGCAGACCCTTACTTCCCCAGGCTCTCTGACCAAAAGACTTCACAAGTTATAGTGAAATCAGAGCTGAAAAAAACAGATGTGTTCATAGAAAGGAAGTGCACAACATGAAGGATAAGCCCAAACATGTCTGGTATCATCAGTTGTACTGAAAACACCTCAGAGTTGTCAAAGGAACATGGGGGAAGGGAGAGAGAATGAAGTAAGCAGAAACTGTAATGTTAGCCATTTACCAGTATTTAAATGAAATTCAGCATACTTTGCGTATTTTTAGGGTAAAACATCAAATTTGACTACTACTTGAATTACATACTTCATGAATGGTGTTCAGAAGCACAAAGAATAGATACGTATTACATAATACCTGAGAAATCAAACAGTGTTTTGCAGGCTTTGCTCTCAATGTGGAGAATTGTGCAATGTGTTCCACAAGTTACACCTCTTTCTGAGGAAGCAGCACACGTAAGAGATTTTTATGCACATTTCCTGAAGTACTGTTATCTAACACAATCCTTCTCCACTGTTAATTTGCATTTTTAAGACAATAAAATATGAAACAGTAAATGAAAACATTAAAGTAGACTTTACAAACTTCTATAATTAAAATTGCTGTACAGAACTGAGCTCATAAGAAACCAGCAGTAGTTTCAAGGGTTTAACTGTTCTGTCAGTACTCATGTAATCCACAGAAATTAACCCTACATAAATGCACTGCAATCTTATAATTTACTAAAGTTGAATAGGAATAGATCTATCCCAGAATTTTGCTGGAGGCAAATTCAGGTAATTAAAACCACTGGCTATTCATCTACATTATTTAACACCACAGCAACATACATGTAATTGATGGGAATTAGAAAGTAGTGAAGTCAAGCTGGTTGGGTCCTTCAATGCTGAGCAAACCAGAATAAGCAGTAGCATATTATATTAAATTGCAAATTAAATTATTAGAGTTGTGAAAGGTATCACACAAAAAACACCAAAGGAGTTTTGTCATCCTATTGAAGAATAAGGTATTGAAGATCTGTTTAGAAGCCTTACCTTGAACAAATGAATAGGAATGTGAAATTGACATAAAGTAATTAGCAAATCCATTGAGAATATACTTCGTTAAGAAAATTAGGAAAGGAAATCTAGATAAAGTGTATGTGGCTGCACATACCATGAATACCTGAGTTTGTTGGGGCCACAGGACAATTTAATGCTGTCAAAAACAATTTGTTAAATTAATTGAGGGTCACAAAGTACCTGGACCTCCTGTCAAAGTTAGTCTGAATTAGATATGAATATTCATCAATCTGGTTTTTATTATCAGCACAAAGTACATTTGCATATCATAATTCTGCTGGGCTTCTTATCAGGGGCTCATCACCAGGGAGGCACTTGAAATGCTCCTTAAAATTCATGAGAATTGAAAAGAGCCAAGAGACCAAACCCAATCTACTTAAGCTTAAAATCCTTATCATGCTTTGATAGTTTTGGTACCACAATGAATATTCATAAATCTGTCATCTATTTTTATCTCAACATTTAAAGTGAAAAGTAAACTGACAGTATTGCCTACCTGAATTTCACAACTTCAGTTCCTCTAGTCCTTCCTTTAAGCAGCAAGTTATTCACTGAAGAGATCCCCAACTCTAGAGAGCAAAGGAGGGAAAAAATGGCATAAGTAACTATCTATCTATTACAGCTCCTAATACAAATTAGTTATAACAAAGAGCAACGTATCTTCATGTTAGCAGGAAGAAAACAGCTACCAAGAGACAGACTCGGGAGTTTCTCCAACTCTTCTCCTTTGCAGAGCGCCACATGTTAGAACAGCTGAGCTACTGCTATTAGTGAATGAATTCAAGGATTAGAGACCTTGTTCACTACAGTGTTGGAAGAAAACTTCGCTGATTTGTGTACTCTCCGGTGCTCTTTATTCTTATCCTAATATGTTTACACACTGTTTATATACATTATTTATGTATATATATGTATGTCATAGTTCAAGGAAGCAAATAAGGAGCACAGGTTCAAAAGCAGTAACTACTTTGTTTTGGCTGCTCCATTTGCTGGGGTCAAACCTTAATATTAGCAGGGGCTGGTGGAAAGACCCTAAACCAGATGTATATTCCAATATTTTTGTGTGCAAGGTTAGATAAACCTTCTTATTGATCAGCCTTCAGATCACGGTCAATATCAGGTATTTCAGAAAGTAACTGGTTTGTAATGCGTGCCCAATGTCAGTTAAGTCTCGTGACCTGTATAAGGCTTAGCAAACAAGTTTGTTACTGAATTATTGTTCGTGACGTGCTACCAAGTTCAGCAGTACTCAGTAAAAGAAAGGATGGATGCAAGTACTGCAGGCAAAACAGAAAGGAAACACATTCATAAGAGCTGGCTCTGAGCAACAATAAGAATTGCTGCTCAGCATCACTGCGCTACAACCTGCTGTTGAAGTAGCAGCTTATTATTTACTGGTGTTAAACCTATATTCAAAAAACAAACCCCAACAAACCAGAACACCCCTGTATTCAGAGAAAATTCACCTGTAATGACAAACTGTTGTGACAGCATTCATATATAGAAAATGGGCCTCAAAATAGACAGAAGCTGTGAGGAAAGCTGCAAAGTCCAAACAATCCCGTTTACACTTCAAATGTTCATGTAAAATAAGGTGAAAATAGTAGTAAATTAAATCATATGCATATCCTACATTAGGTAGGGCAATGTTTTGTAGATTTTATTTAAAACAAAACCAACTTTCTTCTACACTTGAGGTCCCTGATGTTTTATATTTTACACTATATGGCAAGCCATTTGCTTGCTAACTTTCACTGGGGGCTTGTCATGTTACAGCCCTTCCTTGCTCACAAATGAGGGAACTGAGTCTTCTGGGTTTTTTTTTCCCTGACTGACATAAGCCAGATTTAAAAACTAAAATTAAAGGTTTTTTATCTTTACCCTGTAGCTTTCAAAAAAGACTGTTAGAAAATTTATGGACTAGAAACAAAGAACAGAGGCAGATGAGAGCACGTAAAATAGACTATAAATGAACAAAAGTACTAAATCAATATAAGAATGCTGGGGAGGGAAAGAGGGAAGGGAGAAACTTGTCTGGACAGCATTACATGTCAAGAGACAGAAAGCTTTGATCACCTTTTTTGTTAGGATAGAAATCTGGGTGGTCAAAAAAGTAACACTTCACAACAGTGGATTACTAGGAGGAACAGTATTAGGAATTGTCTACAACTGCTTCCCTGAAAATAACATTTGATGACTGCCTAGCCCTGAAATTGACAGAAGGAGACTCTGTGTAAAGAATCAGATTTGAGTCTCCTTCCTTTGGCTAAGGAGATAGACAACAGCTTTTTATCTTTAATTACCTCAGAAGCGCATTTTAGAGTAGATGTCTATTTTGTAACAGTTGTCACTGAAAGGTGGCTATGTTCTAGTTAAAAGACTCTGTGGACAATATCTGATGTATAGCTAGAAGAATCAACTAATTTAACTGTAGTTAAATGTGTACCTCCTCACTCACATGTAATGCAACTGAAATCAAAGTGGAGAAAGACTGATACTAGTAAATTTTACTGAGAGAAAACCGAGACAATTCTGCATGGAGATGTTAGCACAGAGTACCGTTAATAGCACATATAACATCCTAGAAGCATGTAGAGACTGCAATTCTGTGTAAGTAATTTCAATGTGTAACAATATTTATACAAACAAAGTAACGGTAGATATAAGAATATCCATATTTACGACTTCTAAGCCAAGTGTCTTCCTCCAGCCCTCTTCTTAAAGAAAAACAGACAAAGTATAAAATAAATTAAGTACACTTTCCTAAACTGGAGCATTAGAAATCTAGGGCCATGCTGCAAGAGCATCAAGACAGAACAATGAAAGCCATCCTTTTACAATGATATTTTAAAATCAGTTGCAAATGAGATCTGGACCAGTAGTTTTAAGTCATTGTGCCACAGCTATTTAGAGTCCCAGATGAATGAAGCCTGTATACTAAACCTGAATCGTAATGGACAGTTTAATTCACAAAACCACTTCTATAAATGGTAGACTTCTGGCTTGAAAGACTATTAAATGCATTGGCATAGAGCACCAGACAGCAGAGTAGAAAGAACGGTTGTTTGCAGGTACTGCCAAGGCATACTACCAATCAAGCTGTAACCACTTTCTGTGAAGTCTGGACAACTTATTGCAGACTTGCCCATATCACTCACTCATTAAGAACATCAGTTATAAACAGCAATATTCTAAGTGTTAGCATTTGCATGAGAATTAGAAGCATTAATCTTGCCTGAAACCTTCTTTTCAGAACTAGCAATTCGGTATACTTCCTGTATTTCTAAATAAATAAATTACTGATTTAACAAACTACAAGAAATTGCTGATGTTGCAACACTAGCAGGCGATTTCGTCATTATCCTAACATTATCTGCTCAGATGATTTCTTATTTTAGTCCATCACAGCTTCAAAGTCACATTAGCCTTTTACAGAAATTTAGTATAAAACCCGTGTAAGAAAACAAAGATGACAAAGCACAAATCAATATGATAAATAACATACAGATTACCTTAGAAAGGTGTAACATATCTATTAGTACAGTGATTCTACTGAAGAGATGCACATTCTTTTAAAGAACCTAAATGCCAAAGAAGTCTATTTCGATGGGGCAGCTGCAAGTGTCATAACCATTAACACACTTGAAAAAATTAATGCTGTTAGTATTAAGTGTATCAAATTCAGAGAGAAAAATCATCAGTGCAGCCCCATAACATTTTCTGAGTTGTTTTCTAATTACACAGAACAGACTGAAGTTTGATAAATAACTTGAAGACACTATATATGCAAAGTATAAGCTTTAAAAATCTGGTTTTGTCCTAAGGAAAGTATTTTCCAAGCTAAAGAGACTATAAGTTTATGACAGATGAAGAGTTAAATAGCCTGCAAATGTTCAGGCCTTTCCATTAAAAAAAAAAAAAAAACAAAAAAAAAAACAAAAAAAAATCACACTGAACATTGAACTTCAGCAGTTTCATCATAAGAAAATGACAATCTAAACTTTATGGGTTCTGTTATCTTCATAAGAAGATCTGACTTTTTCATACTTTTGCAAGCAATTAAAAACAGAAATCGAAAAAATACCAAAGATTAGTTTTGCACCTGCTCAGTAATTTTCATGTCTCTCTATACATATATAGTATATATGCACACATTTACAATCACTCTTCCATTCCAGTCAATGGCAAAGTCACATACGTACAGAGAATTATAGAGAGCCAGTAGAGCATATTTTATACTTTCAATATGAAGCTTATAACTGGTACACCAATTCATTTAATAGAGCCATAATGAATGTGAATGGAGTTAATAAATGTCAATGAGTTCAGAGCTGTATGTATCTGGAAGCAAAAGAGCCATAAGGTATGTAACATTAAACCTAAGTTGAGGTACAAAGAATCATGAAAGCTCATTTTAGTTTCTCCCATTCCTATCAGAAGGATGTAAGTCTCAAAATTAGAGTCTTTAGAAGATATCAACATTAAGACATTTTAATATTTTATATTGTTTACATTTACTTCTGCTGGTGTCCAGAAATCTCCCCAGGAAAAAGCAGATAATCCTCTTGGAAACTACTAGGAGTCAGACACACAGAAGGCTGACCTCCAGGTCATGCTTATCTATGCTGGCATCGAGCTTTCCTATTTCTTCTCTGTTTTACTGAAATTCTTTGGCTCATCACTGACACAGGTGTGTCTACTTGGGTGATGAATGGGTGACACTGTATGAACACACTAAGGAGAAGACTGAAAGATACTTGAAAGACTCCTGGCTAGGACTGCAGAAATTCAGCTATATAAGGTGTGAAATCTTACATTTCAGACTAATTAGACACACTGGATTTTTAGGATAGAGAAACTCAGTATGTATTACAAAGTTGAAGAGGCTGAGCCTTTCATAAAGAGAAGGAAAAAGTATCTGTATGCTAATACTTCTCAGATTATTTTACTACCATACAACCTAAATCTAACAGTGATCTCCGCTGTATGTAAAAGTTTTCCTTTTTCGTAAGAAAAAGGCTGAAAGAGGTTAATACCATCAGAGGGTTTGGTGGAAGAAAAGTGCATTTACCATCATGCTTTTCAGAAATAGGTACTGTGTTTTCATACCTGCCAACATAAAACTTTGAGAACCTTACATGAATAACTTAACAGATTTATCAGATAAAGGATGCAATTTACTTAAATTTTTGCTTCAAAATCTAGTATGAATAATCCCTTAGCCATCTGCTTTAAATCACAGAGGTGACAATCAACCTTTGTGCTACTACAAACCCCGTCCATAACAGAAATAGACAAGTCAATGTAATTAACAGAACAAAATAACCCACACAAAACTACAATAGATCAAGGTTCGAAGTCATATTGACCCTAAAGTTTTCTTTTAAAAAACTAGAAAGAGAGATATCCTGTTAGTGGACATTAAACATCTCCAACAAGCAAAGAAAGGACCTAGGAAGTCACTAGCTATACAAACAGCTCCACTGCCTACACAATGGAGTTCAGCCTTCGCAAAAACTGTCTTGAAAAACCACAACTTGTTTTCCTAAGGCAAAGCCTTTCAAAGTCA